GATAACACAAGCCCCATTCTAAGTATACATGCAGCTGTCAGACAGGAAGTGGTGTTCTGTGGCCAGCCCAAACCATCAGAACAGACTTTCAATAATCAGACATTTATTTACACTTTACAGGCCAATGCTGCATTCTAGTCTAATTACGAATACCACATAAACTTCCAAACACCCCTAATCCCTCTCCATGACGGCCCCTTCTCTTTCATCTCGTGATGACAATCTACATGTAGAAAAGAACAAAGTGTACTTGCCTCTTTAAAAGTACCTGCTAAATACTACACAGGTACACATTCAGTGTATATTACAAGTTACAAATGTAGGTTCATTTACAGGCCCAGTGGCCTGATCTGCTAGACTGAGTACGCAGTATTACACGGTGTGTAAAATGCAACCAGCATTTTCCCTCAAGTGTGTCAACTGTCAAGTGTTGGCCTAGTTGCCTGCAGTGGCATTGCATATATTGTAACACATCCAATCTTAATACAACCCGAGAACGGACCATGCTGTCTGAATTACATGTATATTGAGTACCCCATGTCTACATGTAAGGGGGAGAGGTGGGAGGACATGCTGTTACTTTTGGAATTTGCAAAAATCTCCACAAAATAGGCACTTGGTAAAAGTTGAACCGTCCCTCCCCCTTTGATCATACAACTGGAAGGGGTCAATGACAGGATGATATTTCAGTAAGGAAGGAAGTTGGACCACTCTGACCACTCATGCCCGAGCTGACCACCAGACCATAGGGCTGTGACCACATGGAGATAACCACTTGAATATATTGCACTGCAGATTACATTTGAAGTTAAGCGGCAGGTTAAAGCATGGTCTGCATGATTTATAGCGGTGGTAAGGTTAATGCTTCACTGAACAATGCACAGAGGTCTTGACGTAATAGATAAATGCAATACGTGTGAATGAATGCATGTAACCTTAACTTACATGTAGGCTTGTGAATGTAGCCATTGAATATGAAATTAGGAAAATGGAGAACACTTTTGCAAAATCACACATGCAACTGTACCTGATGTACATGTACATGTACCGGTACATGTGTATGTACATGTAATTACCAGTCCATGTCGATTTGTCTTTCAATTTCTCTTTAAAAACAAAAGGTTCTCTGAAAAAAGAGGAAGTTCACATTCTTTTTATGGAATCTCACGTGTTTTTCATTCCAATAGTTTCCCATATGGTCCTCAAGAATGACTCTTTCTTCTGCTTGTGCTTGATATTGACACTGAGGACAGATTCCTCACTGGGATGTGCTCGTGGTACATGGGGTATGCCATGCGAGTGTAACGATTGGAGGGGCATGAATACGAAAGCAGGTGCGCTCACTGCACTGGCATTTTCAGTGTTTGTGGATGCGTCCATCTTTGCATCGTGACATGCTTCATGTCTTGAATTATACAATTTATGTGCAGGCACGTGCAAATGAATATTTCAGCAGGAGAATAAACTTACCAGGGCAGGCAGGCATTGATCTTTCAGGAGTTTCTAGCACTTCTACATGTACCACAGTGACTGTACTCATGCATGGTCATTGATAGTGATTCATGTATGCAATAACAGAAAATTCCAACGTGCCACCATACTAGATCAATCAGTTTAGGGAGCTGTGGCAGATCCAATCCGTCAGATTTAGAAGATTTTAGTATCAGTGATCATTTCTCCGTCAGTGTGAGCGTAAATATGCAAATCCCTTGTAATCACAGCTTTATCCTAGAATATTTTCACTTTCCCCCAGAAAGTGTCGGCATTTTGTTTCTTTTGCAGACATTGCACTGATTTCAGATGTCCAGCGCGCAGTGTGCATAAGATTAAAAAGCTGCCTAAGTATAGCCTTGGGCGTGTTTGACAGTTACTTTGTTGTAACGGTATCACTTGTCCGATAAGTCACCTGCCAAGAAAGGCCATTGATGGTGCTCCGCGGAGAACGTCACTGATGCGTCTAGGGCAGTGACATAAGAGACGGGAGGATGAGTCATCAAATGACGACAGTGCACAAGCATTCACGGGGAGGGGGGGACAGAGAACAGTATTGCACCCAGCTAAATGATTTTAATAAAGAAAATTAGTGTACCTCAGGCTGATGTGGGGAGTTGCCTTGACTGCAGCATCGTCAGGTACCTAAAGAGTACCAGTATTTATTTACTGAAGGTGACAAATTGATTAACGTGGCGATTCCTGTTTTTTACAAAGCATTGCCAAACAGTGTGGATGGATGAATGCGTTTCACCAAGTTTTTCAACCCAACCATCTGATTAGATCGTCTCTGTTTGTGGAGTGGTCTCTCCAAACCATTTGTCATTGTCTGACAAACAATGAACTACATGTATCCACACACCCAACTTGCTGCCTAGCAACCGATCTGGCATTCATCATGTCATCTCTCAAAAGATTCATCAGCCTCTCATTCATCCCACACACGTGGCAACGTACACTGTACAGTAGTTTGTACAGCAAATGTTTCCCACAAATGTGTTTTCTGGGTTTTTTTTAGAAGAATATTCATTCTTCACACTTACATAAAAAAATGATGTTCTAATGTGTATTGTACATTGTAGTACATGTATTCTTACAAATAGGTCATTAGGGAGACATTTTGTGGTAAATTCTCCGACCTTAGGGAGACATCGGTCATTAGGGAGACCTTAGGGAGACATCGGTCATTAGGGAGACCTTAGGGAGACATCGGTCATTAGGGAGACCTTAGGGAGACATCGGTCATTAGGGAGACCTTAGGGAGACATCGGTCATTAGGGAGACCTTAGGGAGACATCGGTCATTAGGGAGACCTTAGGGAGACATCGGTCATTAGGGAGACCTTAGGGAGACATCGGTCATTAGGGAGACCTTAGGGAGACATCGGTCATTAGGGAGACATTTCCATGTCTCCCTAATGCCCCAGCTACGAGAAGGAGGCCAAATTTTACTGTCCAAATTTTGAGAGATGATAGATTAGGGTCTAAATTGAAAACATACAAAGTTTGGTTCAGATCAGATTAGGGAATATTTAATTATGGGACAGTAAAGTTTGTGCACGTTCTTATGGGAATGTCCCCCAAGTGACCCATTTTCGGTAAACAGCACATGTACCTGTTCATCTACACATGTATGGTATAACATATTTCACCAGACCTCCATGTATTGTACTTGTGTGCACATAGGTTTACATAAAACTGCAATTTCCTTTGAACGATAGCAAAAAAGGCAGATCCAGCACCATATTTCAAGGGAGACCAAAGCTCTATTTTTTTAGGGGGGTGCAAAAATGGAACATTTCTTTATGTGTGTAATTTTTATGTTTGGGGACTTGTTACATGCTGTGCGAGAAAGGGAAGTGAAATGCTCTCTAAAAGTCAATCCTTCCCTCATATTTACCAAACTTTTTTTGGCCCTGTGGGAGGGGGCATGGTCCCTGTTTCTCTCCCCTCCCCCCTCCCAACTGAACAGTATTGAAATAGAATGTTACATCGATGGGACAATGCTAATGCGATCGGCACTCACAGCAGACAGAGATTTTTCGTACCTACATGTACATGTAAGAGTGGCATATTGAGTCAGTTGCCAATCAATCGATTGCCATTTTAAAAAAGCTTTTTGGTCGCACAAGTGCATGTGTAATTCACTGACTGAACATTGTGATAGCAGCTTGCTGCAGTGTGTCTCGAGTGCCAGACAGCCCTTTCGCCATTGATCAACATTTATGATGTAATTTAATATACATTTTCAGGCGGTTTGCAATAACGTGAGCATTAATCATTGACAAGAATTCGCGGAAGCGTAAAGGGGTTACATGGACGTGACTGGTACACTTTCCCACTGTTTGTCATTTGTCACATCAGAATGGCAAGCAGATTTTTAATATTTGTTAATAAAACTTGACAATCACACAACAGCTGAACAAACACGGTTGGTTACAGTAAATGTACCGGTCAGCCTACATTTGTACATGTACATGTACTATGCATTGCAAAAAGGCCAGAAGTGTTACATTGTGCGTTTGTAATGTGAACTTGTATGTGCCAAATATTGAAAGGTTATCTGAATACATGTACGCAAGCTTATGAATGTTTTCTGAAAGCTCTAAGAATGTAAGTAGGCCTATGCAGAACTTGGTCAACTTTGTCAATGAAGGACAAACTTATTCATATCGGTACCTCCCCTGCAAAAATTCCAGCAACAACTATGAAGCCCAGATTTCTGCATTCAACTCCAAAGTGCACCCCGGGTAATTTCACTTGACAATTATTGGATTTCGAAGATTGATTCAGTCAGGCCGCATCAGTTAATTTTTTGGGTGGGCTTTTGTTTAATTCTTTAGTCAATAAATCTGCCTAATTCAGGCCACCACTTACACACCTTCTGTTGTCAATGCCTTTGAAGGATCCCAGTGCCTGAAACAGTCCAACATTTTTCTCAATTCTTTCGCAGCCAAGAAATCCTGATGTGAATTTCTGTATTCTGTTCAATGCTACATGTATATGAGCCGTTCCATGAAGCTGTCAGGCACACAAAGCCATGTTTGATGACAATTTTGCATCCATTGATGGAAAATCTCCAAAACTTCACATTAAATGTCCCAGCTTCTTGTTACGAGTGGTGTGTGGTGTTCCCTGTCATTCATGTGGTGTCAAACTGGTGCCCTGAATCTAAATTTGTTACCAAAATGGATGAAAATGGCATAGTGCCTTGTTAAATATGAATCCACATTGCATCGGACCTCCAAATGCTTTGTAAAAATTCTAGGAACAGTCATAAGAGCTACAGCCAACATGCATGAGTAAATATTCCGAAGAGTCCCTAGACCTCATCCTCAGATGTGCCCAACCGTCACAAAATTTGCCCCTAGCTTCACAGAAAGGCCCATGTTGCAACATTTTCATCACGATCATCGATCGTTGATGAATTACCAGGACCTTCTATTCCACAGCTAGTGCTTTACAGTTGGACCTTCCTCATCACCACTGTCTTTCGTTCTCATCCCTCAGGTCAAGGAAGTGACGGAGAAGCTGGCTTCCATGAGACGGGGCTCGGGAGAGAGCGAGCGGAGCCAGGCCCTCAACAAGAGGATTCAAGCCTTGGAGGCGGCCTGCCAGGAGAAGGAGGACGTGATACGACACCTGGAGAAGCAACTCACGGAGCAGGTGAGACTGCAGCTGTGTGGAAGGAGATCCTGTCTTTCTTTCAGAATGCTTGTCATTCGTGAATGCATTATCTGTGATTTGTGCCAGCTGATACTTGCATCTGTTTTGACTTGTACAGTACAATCCTTTTGAGTGACATTAGCTAAAGCCTAATGTAATCCCCTCCCCATCCCAGATTAAGCCCAAACCAGTACAAATTTGTTTCAGACTAACTAGAATTGAGACCAATGTAGTCCAGGGTAACTAAGACAAAGACAAGCGTGGCACTGGTCACCTAGAGCAAAGACGGTTGCAGCCCAGATCCACAAGAATTGATAATGCAGTGGGCCCAAGCCAACCAGAGCCAGTACAAACCCGGTCCAGATCCTTTCCACTCAGACAGACCTGGCCCCAGACTTTGCAAAGACATGTCAAAACTTCTCAGGAACAATTGCGGTGGGATTAAATTAATATCCAGCCATTTTTCACCAGGTGGTAGTCTGTAGGCTGGGAGACATAATTTAGAGAGGTCGTCCCAGTCAAGGTTGTAACCAGATCACGGGACATGGAGTTTACCTTCTTTCAGCTCTTGCCCTATAAAATCCTTGCTCTCCTGGATGGCTTCCCTTTTATCACCTTGCATGCACATGTACTGTATGGGAACTACACTTGGAAGGAGGGGGGGGCGCAAGTTGTGGGAGGAGATGGGAACCCAGGGAGCTGGGGCACCTACGTGCATACATGTACATGTAGGGGTTGGCTTACAGACCGGGTAAAGGATCGGGCGTTCTCAGTTCTTCCTCTTTTTTGTGTGATCCAAGAATTTCATGTACATGTACATGTACACCTGCTTATGGTAAGCAGTGCATCCTTAGTTTGAAAACTACCCATACACAGATAATGAAAGTAACACTCCATTTTCAAGTTTGAAAATGTTGGAAATGATACTTTCACGCGAACCCTTCATCATTTTTCTGACGATTGCCTTCCTCACGCAACCACTAAGCCAGAGACAGGCCAGCGTCTCATGGGAGCCGGGACTAATTTGCTAGGCCTACTGAGAGGTGAAAGGCAAGGGGTAGCAGCTGGCTAGTCCACAAGCCATATCACTTTACTTCCATCAGGCGCTGTTTCATAACAGAATAGGAACTAATGGTCCAGTACAAATGGCACTTTAAAGCGATGGCTAGGTGTCCAATTTTATTGTCTAAACTGCTCTGTCTTTATGTACATGTAGTTAAAAGTTATTGTGACACTTCATATATGTACAGAAGATTAAGATGGACTGTCACGATAGTTGAAATCAAGTTTTAGGTTTATGCCACTCCTACATGTACATGTATGATGTATGTAAAAGAAAATAATGTGATGTGAAAATTTAGTCTGGTAACAATGCAGAGTGAAACCTGAATTTTAACTGCCCATATGGTATTTGGGTTTAGGTTGCACAACTTATTTCCTGTAGATTGTAAGCGTTGTGATACACATCCAAATGGTTGAAGAGATTCGAATATTGCACGTATGTATTTTTAACTATGAATCATCTAAAGATACACTGTGTTGATGTATACTTTTAATTTACATCATACCCGGTAATTTATCATTTATTTAGATATAGATTTCTTTTTTAATTCTTCAAACAAGGCATACATGTATGTCAACTTTGAGGTTTAATTAAAGAAGAATTTGCTGTTCCATTTGTTAATATCACACTAGTATGCCATGGAAAAATCATGGCACTGCTAAGCTACAACAGTGATCTGTCCAGCAAAGCAAATTACAAATTCAAGAAGCTGTGGGCCCTACTGCGGGAGGCTGCATGCCCACTGGGAATTAGTTTCATGTGAAAACTTCTCCGGTTTCCAGCCTGTCAAAAGCACAGTACAAGTTGACACGTTGCAAGGCATTCGTCTTTTGTGCCTTGCAGGTTCAAACGCTCCATCCAGAACTCTACGTATTTGTGAGTGTGTACAGTGCGAACTTGGCTTTGCACAAAAGCCATGGTGTTAGAGGTTTAATTTAGAGATGTAAATCATACGTTTCATTTATTGGTGACATGTTCACTCATGCGAGTATCCATCCATGGAATTTTTCCTGAGGACATGTGTGTAGGCCTATACATAAAGCCGTTCAGTAATTTTTTTTTCACAGTAGATGCATTTACTTGTACATGTATTTGTACAGTGGTGGATCTAGTGTTTACAAAAGGGGGGAGGGGCAGCGGAGCCAAATGGAGGAGCAAAGGGGCATATTTTAGTGATGTTTGGCTTCCAAGTTTTTATTTGTTACATATAGTAGCAGTAGCGAAAATACAGAGAAAAAAAGACAGCTTTCTCCCTCAAGATTAAAAAAAAAAGTAACAGAGAAAAGTCCCCCTCCCTGATCCACTACTGTTCATGGGCCTGTGTGCAGACTCTTCAGAAAGAAGCTGTGTGTTAAAATGGAACACCATAAACACATGCATTGTACATCACATACCATTACCGAGGTCCAATCATACCTTCGCTTATGTTCACATACATGTACTGTACATGTACATGTACACTGTATGTCACTTAATAACTGTGCTGATGAATTAATGAATTAGGTCATTATATACTGTACTCATATATACTGGTATATGGAGTCCAATTGCAGTTACCCAATTTACCCTGCACAAAACTGTACACTGCTCTGTACGAACATGTACTTTAGATATTAGAAAGGTTCACGTACCAACGGCAGTGCATAAACACATTTAGTTCAACTATTATGTACATTGTACATGTAAACTTATGTGAGCGGTCAGGCATTGTTTTGCTCTATTTGCAGAAATGCATACAATCTTGCATGAGCTGTTTGAGAGTCCAAAATGGCAGCAACCAGTGAAAACCTAGTGTGTGGCTATAATACTCAAAACCAAAATATAAAAATGTAAAGAAACAATGAGAATCTTTTTATTTTCTCTTCGATGTTTTCAAATTGTGCATAGCAAGTGAGATATTGTGCCGCATGAACATGCATGGTTGATAGTGAGTTATGTATGAAATCCATAAGACAGCACCAACTGATGGCCTATCCAGTGCACTAACTGCACTTGTACATATACATGTACATACATGTACATGTACGGTGGGCCTGCCTGTTTGCTTGCAAAACTTCTCCAGTTGTTAACATGCCTCCTCTAGAAAGACTGAATAAAGTGATGTTTTGTGGTACACTACATCCATGTACATGTGGGCACATATCCCAACTGGGTGTCTGATACTTTAATGTTTTAAAATGTGAGGACGGTTAGTATAGAAAAAAGACTCTAAAAAAGATGGTAGAAAAACATGAATAATGTTTTGGGGCATTAAAAGTGCTCGGTGGACAAGCAGGTCATGAAATATTTTGAAGTTGCGCACGGGTCTCCACGCAATTACAAAAATTACGCATTATATAGTCCATGCTCATATACCGTACCAGTAGTTATGGAATTGTTTTGTTTTCTGATTGCTCCTCAGCGAGAACTCCGACTGGAGGACAGCCGATTGGTGGATACCAAGATAACTCAAATCAAGGAGTGGGTAGCAACTACTGTTACTCAGGTATTTAAACATTTTGATTTGACACACAATTTATGCCCAGCGAATCCTAATAACTTCCCAGTGGTTCAGCTGACCAAACATTTATACCGAGATGTCGCAAATGCCAGTCAAATTGAAGGGTACCAGTAAATGCAGTAGGTCTATACCGGTACGTACATGTCAGTGTTGTATCCGAGACCTTGCTGTCCAAGACCAAGACCAGGTCTCGAGACCTACAGCACTGATACATGTACTAGTACATGTACATGTATGTACTGATAACATCACACTTTGTTAGTTTCCCTATGGAGCCAGTGGGGCTCATGGTCCAGTGAGCATCATTATCAACCACACAATGCATAGCACATGTACAGTGGCTCACAAAACTTTTGCAAAATGCATCTTGGTAAAATGCAAACATTGCTGACTTTTTTTCAAAAAGACAAAAGAAAATCCCCACAAAAAATGACGAATCCTTCTGAAGGGCCAACTAGTATTCAGGAATTGAAAGAATCTTGGAAGTTTTAAATTAAGTAAGAAAAAAACCTAATCACTATTACTGCATGCAGTCATGTTAAGTAACTCTATAAAACAGGCACGATACAATATAGCATAGACGAGGTCGTCAGGATGTGACTTTTTTTTTAATGGATGTTGAAGTCACATTCCCAAATTCTAGGTCCTTTTTCAAATGCATGTCCAGGATTGACTTGTATGTGACGTAACAATAACCACCACATCTTGTTACATGTGTACGGTACTTCATTTGTTCTTTTCACAAATTCAGGCAATTTGGACGTGAGCTTGAAAGTCAGTGATTCAAAAACATTCAACGTCCATTCTGACAGAAACTATGAAGAAGCATATTGTGTCCATTTTAACAGTGTAATTCCCAGTGATAATTGCTTTGAGATTCTTGCATTCCCAAGCGGGAGTTTCTTTGTCTGAACTGTCCCACTCCCTCAGAGGAGGGGAAACATTCAATATCCTTTCACTCGGTGTCATCCTTTTGACATGTGGTATGCATTTGGCATTTCAGCGGCTATTTTTACGACGGGATGAGGAAATGTTCTGAAGTAGTCCATGTAGTCGATTTATAGCATTACACAGACACAAACCCTTAGAGAAATCCGTGGAAATGGCTGCAGTTACGCTACCTGTATGTGGTGTGCTACTGATACACTCTAAGAATGTTCCACTGTTCATTTGTTCACGTCCTCTCGATTTCATTGTGAGATATAAATAGACTTGGATATTTTCTTGGATTTGCCCATGGTTGTCACCTAATTATGTATGTTATTCATGTACATACAACTGTACATTGCCGGTGCATGTATGCACCTGTGACATTTAAATATGTCACATTTTTGGAAGTACCCATTTTGTAATGAAATATTCATAAGAGTTGTACAGAGTGCAAAATGATACCTGCATAATAAATGAATATCATGTACAATTCATACTGTGAATGGTCATCTACATCTACAGTATGTATTGCACAGAATCCTTTTAAGAACCAAATTCTCCACAGATTTCTTTAAAATATGTGCTGTAAATGCACATGTACATTGTACATATGTGCATACATGGTACATACATTGTTAGAATGTTCCAGTAGTCTGTGAAAATGGTCGTTTCCTATTCTACAAAATTACACAGAATTCTGAGAATCTCCGGAGTGACCTCAGTTATGTGTATTTGCACAGAAGAGGTGCAAACTACATGTATGTCTCTTTGTTTTGTGCCTGTCACATATTTGAAATCTGTCTTGTGCAAATTATATAGACATACACGTACCAGTATGTTGAGAATTCAGCATTTTACAGCCAGTCACATGCATCTTGGACAAATGGATTTTTAAAAGGTGTGTCTGAGCTCTTGAACCAAGCTATTATCATTCTAAAGCTGGGTAGCTCACATGTTCATGTATTCCTATGGGCCATGTTTTCAGTACAACACTGTCCCAATACCTGTGCACTGTGCAGTATACCATGGAGGAAAGTGTAAAACTATCAATGCTCACAAAGAGATATATTTCCCAGTTGCATTGATGCCTTGAGCACTGACGCAGGAGACATGTCATGCTAGCTGAGCATGTACAAATGAGTTATCAGCCTGCTTACTATCATGACAGTTCCATGTTGTCGATAACGGTGCCGGTTCTGGGCATTCAAACATGGCCACAGGACTTGATGATTGCTGTCCTTTACGTGCTGATACAGGTGTAGAGTGAAAACACCTGTGGGCATAGATTGACGAGGTTTCTGATTATTTTCTGATGCATCTTATGGCACGCAGTCCAAGCAGGCTACCAGTATGGATGGAGATTGCCACAGCAGCAGTGCTCAGATAGCAGGGGTCACTGAACTTGCGAGCTTTTTGTCCAGGATTCCAAACCTTTGCTGTAATAGATACATTTACATGTATGCTCACAACTGGGAAGCTATTATGTGTTTCCTGTTGGTTGACTTGGGGTGAGGGGGGTATCATCAAGGCGGTTAGGCCTGCATGGGAGATCTACATGTACTTAATTTAAAAGACCCTGCCCATTTCCTGAGGACAGTGGAGCCCCTTTGTTTCTCCAGCGTTCAATTCTCTGATCTGCCATGGCACAACCTGTGGATACCCTGGGTGTGATCTACTGGTTTCTCCATACATGTACACTGTAGAGTCTATATTTTTCAAGGGTACACAAAGGAAGATGGAGACTGTACAATGTACAAGTACAGTAGGAGGGGTGACTCTTTTGTGACTCGGAACCAGAAAGCAGAAAGTGAAAAGACTTTTTTTTCCAGATTTTCTTTTTTTTGGGGGGGAGAGATAGGTCAGAGACCTGGAAGTTGCAGAGGACCATCGCAAAAGCAAAATGATAACATCCAAAAATAAAATCAAACTATGCACTTATTTAACATTTGAAGGAAATGGGCAGGACCACAAAACATACATGAAAAGATAGTGTTTTGCCAGCTCAACTTCAACTTCAAGAACCTACTTTGTCTACCGCATGCAGAGCGATAGGCTCTCTGTGGATGTCTTTGTTCCCAGCCTCAATCAGACCTATTGTGTCCCAGTATGGAGACTCCAAGGATAAATCAATTCTGCCCTCTGTAGATCCATTGTTCGAGTTTCCCTTCTGCCTGAGAGTCCCCTTCTCCAGCCTCCACCCTGCCAAGTGCAAACAGACCAAGGCCTCTTAATCATTTGACAGTCTGTGTTTATTTTTTCGTTATAATTTAGCAATAAAGGAGATGGCGGCCTGGGCAACATACGCTTGCAATATTTTCACCAGACTGACTCATGGGACAGTTATTGTCTGGGTACACGTATTTGCTGTGTGTTGAATGGGGGGAACGGTATCAGAGGTCCCATTTGGATAATGAGAACATTGCGCTGTCAATCACAGAGACCGCATGAGTGACGGCTGGCGTATTAAGTCTCATTGAAGTCAGAGGAAAGACGGTTGCAACCTGATAGCACAAAGCGCTGACTATCTTGCATCTGTCTGCGTCCCGGCCTTGGCAGATGGGTATAATCCTGTTAGAATCCGGCTGCCGTGAGGCTTCATCTTCTATTTTAGTCCTGTCAATAAATGAGACATGTCATGTACACATGTGCGTGTACACTGTACATGTACATGCATAGGGTATACAAAGATGCTGCAAGGCAGGATGTCCACAGTCACAATGCAATTAAGAATGAAGCTTTGAAATTGATCCAGCCACTCATTTCAGGCCCTGTTTAACACGTTTGTGGCACTAACACAGTTTTAATTACCACATGTTATTTTCGGACAGAAACTTGGCTTTCCGGATAGTGAGAGCTTTAACATTATTATCTCATTTCAAATTGTGTATCTTTTTCCAATGTACAGTACAGTAATATAATTTTAGTCACTGTACATAGGAAAAGATAGATGCAGGTACGGTATTATGTACATCTATACATTGCGGAAGAAAAAGCCACCTCTGGCATCAAACGTTTTTAGTAAGCAGCTACACTGCACACATGAAGTCAGGTAACTGCTCAGGTAACTGCTCAGGTGACATCACTGTTTTGCCTATTTGGATAAATTAGCATAAAACAAGCCTTTCAACATCCTTACACCTGGTGTAGTTACTTTTAACATGAAGAAATTTTGAAGAGGATGTTTCATTCAAGACTTAATAACACTCTGTTGTATCAGACCTGCAAAACGTTGCGAACATTTGTAATGGGACATCATATTGTTCTGAGGGACACATTATGGATAAATGAGCATGCTCAGTATGAAGTACAGGTCAATTTTGGTGCATGTGTATATACTGGAAAGACTTCTTAAAAAATTTTCAGCTTACATTGACAGAGAAGCAATATGAACATAAAATTGTGAAAGTTTGAACACATCTCAACAGACGCTCTGTGTTGAAATTTGAAAATCTGAATGCACTTTCAGGTTTGCTTTTATACTGCATGTGTGCACATGTACTTTGTACCATTAGCATTGACCAGCCTTCAGAAGACAAGTCTAACACCATATTTAGATTTACTTTCTTGCTTGGTTTTTCAGCTCATGGCTGAGCCATTCCCCGAACAGATCCACCTGAAGACTGTCTTTAATTGGAAGCAGGATAGGGAGAAATCATGTACTTGTACTCTCCTCTCAGACAGCAGATGGACCTGTCATGTTGGCAGGCCAGCCCTTATCCTTGTCATTGTTTGTTGATCTCTAATAATAAACCACAGGCTTTTCGCTGGTCTGTTTTATAGTCAGTGTGAAATTGGCTGGGGGGGAGGGGAGATTCAGTGTTGGTTGCTAGTTGCCGGACTGGAGGCCAGGGATTTGGTTGCTGAGTGATTTGTGAGGCCCGTCAAACTTTGGTATCGGTGGAAATTGAAAATTTGTCTCTGCCAACAGTTGAATTATTTATGACAAAGGAGAGAGTGGATTTTGGTGAGAAGTGGTCTGGCCCAGGGCATGAATGGAAAAAAAAAACAGAAGAAACCTGTAAGATGAAAGAAGTTCTGCTGGATGAATCGTGCTGCTAAAGACCGCTTGTCTAATTTCAAAGATTAATTTAAAACTGAGACGAATTGGTCAGACACATTCACCCTAGCCGCCTGGGCATCTTTGTGAGGATGCTTGCTTCCCCAAATCCTCTAATCCCAAAATAGCGACTGTACATGTAGTGGCTAGTAGGCATACCCAATGCCATGAGATTGCATGAAATGTGGTCCAACAAAATGAGTTGCGACAAGGCTCTTTCTGAAAGAATCTTTCACTGTGTAAATTGATACGAACCCTCAACTTTTGCCACTTTAATATTGTCCAATTCCATCAAGATGCCAAATTGAGTGATAATGTACATGTACATATATATCAAAACAAAAAGCTCAGTTTTAGAGAGCTTTCTAATGCAGATTTAAACAAAATAACGGTAATGAAAACTTGCCTAAAGACTCATTTTGTGGGATCCAGTCACAACTTGACATTGCATCTAGGAAATTAGGGTTAAACGTCCTTCAAGCAGCCTGTAAGTAGAGCAATCCACCCACTTCTTCCCCCATGCAGTCCTGCAAGACCTTCCGAAACTTCCCGATGAAATTCAAAAATCTCATTTGGTTAGGGTTAATAGTCTTCTTTCAAGGAGTAAATGTCTCGTGCATATAACCCATCTATCTTTCATTCTGAGAATCTACAGGTCTTTGAAATAGCAGGGAAAAAAGGACTGCCATAAAGTCTACAGCATACCTTTATTGGTACAAAAATATAATCTAATTGTACATTGGTGTTTGATTTCAAACTGTGAAATAAAAGGTGACACAAGTGAATGATTTGTCTAATTACATTACCCATAAGTTTATTATTTTTTCCCCATGCAGTTGGAGGAAGAGAACAGATGTTTGCGAGCTGAAAATGTGCTGCTAAGCACTGGACGGGAAAGCTTAGAAGGTACATTTACCACTGAAAAGCACAAAATGTTCTACTTGCACAAAAGTGTGACTTTTGTTTTTTCAAATTAAAAAAAAAGGAACAAACCTAGGGCGTTATTTGAAACAAAACCCTCATTGCGTATGCATAAAAGCATTCCTAGAATTCTGACTCATCTCTGTGTGTGCACAGTACATGAACATAGGAATGCAGCAATCTGTCATGGTTGCATTTTCATTACTGCCTGATGTTGGCCCATAATTGAAATTAATTGACCATCAGAGCAAATAGAAATGTGCAAGGCAGGTTTTAGTAACCCATTCATTCTGCAGGTTCATGTAGCATGAATCCAGGCATGCATTTTAGGACGCAACTCTGGAATCAGACACAGTTCTCTTTAAATTAACTTCTGATATTGAAGTGTTGAGTGTTAAAGCTCGCCAGATAACCCTCAGAAGGGAGTCCTGTTACAGGGCCATGTGGTCAAGTGGCTAGGGTTTGTAGCTTAGGGTGGGGGGTTCAAATCCTGGCAGGCGGTTACGTGTTGTGACTTGGGCAAGTCACTTCACCCCTCTGAGTCTCTCTCGACCAATCTGAGGGGACACTGTTGCAGTGCACTGGCAGCACACTCTGTCACATTAAACTTGAGGGACACACGCTTTTGGCAAATCACAACATCCCATTGATAGAGGAAGCAGGTTATATACATGTCCAACCTGCATATGAGTTTTGCCACCCACACAGTAAATACATACAAATGCTTTCTTTTTCTTTTGTTTTTCCAAAACTGTCCAGATTTGGAAATTGTGTCAGCGCTAGCTCACTGTCAGCATTGTCAAGTTCTCTGGAAGCAGAATTGTCTACTGTTGAGTGGCAATTCCACAAAACTTTGTTTCATAATTCCATGTTAAGTTTTCAAATCGATTCTGGTCATTAGAGGCACACTGTGCACGATTCTCATGTCGATTTGCAGTTCTCTATGTCTTTTTCTCCTCAGTCAGTGTCAATATGCCACCAAGTAGTTTTCATAGCTTTTGTATCTCACTTTCAGAGGGCACAGACCAAGAACCAAGTCAAAAACCATCACCACCTCGGCCTACATCAGTCCTGTCCGAACCGCCTGAGATTCCAGCTCGCCCCACCTCGTCTAGCATCAGGGAACACCTCCAGAGCATCTTGGATGAGAGCAGATCGGCCGGAGATGCCCCCAGGAGGCCCAAACCCCCGGCGCGAAACAGGAAGAGCCCCGACGAATCCCACGTCTCAGCCCTGATCCAGGTTCATGAGGAGTTCATCAAGCAAGGGGAGGAGAGGCCCCTGAGGGATGAGACCTTCAAGTGTGCAGCCTGCGAGAGGCGCATGAAGCTGCAGGACTCATGGATGGTGGTCCGGGAGGAGGTGAGCAACAACACCTGGCCCCGCAGGCAGCCCCACCACGCCCATGATCTCACCAAGCAGCACAGCTATGACGAGCATGGCCCAACGGTGAGCAACATCACGTGTGAGCCAGAGCCACGCCGGGACCTCATCGTGCACTGCGAGTTTTGCGGTCACGACGGGGTGCCGGTGCACGTGGAGTCGGATGAGGAGGAACCAACACCAGGGATGCTGTCCTCAGATCAGTTGCTTGGCAGTCAGGCATCCCTGATGTCTTTGTCGGATAGTTCTCTTGCCCTGCAAGCTCCCCCGCCCACCCCTGCGTCCCCAGGCACTGGAGGAGCTAAGAGTCTTGCCCACAGCTTGATTCAAGCCAATGATAACCCCACAATAACCAATAATAACAACGACTCACCCTCATCAGATGCAGTAAAGCTGCCGGGTACCCTGGAAGCTCTCGCTGACTCAGTGTCGGCAACAGCCAAGGTTCTTCACCAGTCGTCCAACAGGAACAACAACCAGACTCCATCCTTTTCGGAGGCTATGGTTGATCACACCCTAGACTCCTTAGAAGATGCAGCCCAGTCGCAGATGGACACAGAAACTACTGCAGAGGACGACGACGACGAGGTTTTCCTCAAAGATGGGTTTGTGCCCGAGTCAAGGAACAGCGACTATGCCGACCTTTTCCAGGAGGAGATTGAAAGCAGGCCCCCAAAGAAATCCGAGAGCAAGTACCAGAGCCTGACCTCCTTCAACACCACCGTGGTTTTGGGGAAGGACGACGACGACTACGACGAACCGCCTGATGACTTCTTCAGCATGGACAGTCCCGAGGAGTCCGTTAAACCGGACATGAAGATGGTTGAAAAGAGCAACCCCACCCCACCTCCCCCTCCTCTGCATAAGATGCCACCTTGGGTAAGAACAAGAGTCAGCTGTGGACTTCCTGCATTATTTACTCCCGATTAAATACTTCCATGCATTGATTATTCAGAATTTGGGGGGGGGGAGTTGACTATCTCAAACCACTGTGACAATAAAGGCTTCCATTAATTCAAAAGATTGTCCAAAAGTCTGTTTACTTCTTAACATGCTATTTTAAATTGAAAAGAACATTTCAAAGTCGAGTGCAGCTTGAAACCTCTTCCTTTATTTATCATTTTACCATTTTAATGATCGTGACTAGATTATTATGTCTGATTTTAGCAACTAGTCACATGATCCAGAACACCGTACACTTTTTTTAAAGTAATTCATTCCAGACTACACCTCTTCCATATATACTCAGTCAGCTACTGCAGACAGACTTGGCGAACTCCTGATATGACAACATTCAGCAAGTGCACTCACAAGTGTACACATACACTGTGTATACTGACGAGTGATTGTTAACTATAGAAATCAGAAATGGTCAAAACTACAGCAAACGGTTCTCTTCCAACAGTAACTTCCTTTCAGATTCTGTGCCAGTTGTGCACACACAAAGGCATGATATTCCTCTTGTGAAACCAAGTAGCTCCTCAAAGTCAAATTTTGCACAGAATTGTGGGGTTTTTTTTAAACTTCTCTTTATCGACAAGTAGTACATTTTCATATTTGGTTTGGTTTGCAACAGGAGAACCGTATCTACACAATTGCAGACAGAGGGATGACCTTATCGTCTTGCATCAACAACATGGCCAGCCCATCTAAAAGTAAGTGCTGTACCGGTAGTTGAATCTCCATAGGGTCAAAGAAACACAGCCATGGACCTTGTAAAATGTACAGTGCTTAATTTAAAAGACCAGGGCTAAAAGACCAGGATGAGTTTAGAACACAACGCTGTCGAAAATGTAAAATAAAGAAAAGAAACTATTTAGGGTTTTATAAGTAAACTGATTTATTTCAACCATACAAAATATAAGCAATTCAACAATTGAAGGAGCGCTGTTGGTTTCCCAAGATTCAGTTTTTGAGTTGCAAGTCACTGTCCGTGTCATGTGACAGCACTGTAACCAGTTAAAATTTTTCGAGTACCAGTGCTTGATTGGGAACTCTAGAATTCACAAGTGCGCAGTGTCTTCGCATGCGTCTGATTGCAAAGTTGACGTAGTAGCTGCTATTAGTGAACCACATGTGACTGTATTTCAACCAACCAGAATAAAGAATCAGCAAGAGGTGTGTTATAAGAGTGGCTATGACAGTCTTCCAGTTCATTGTACTCAATGACTTTTCTTAGCAAAATGACGTTCAATCATGTCATGGAAGTTTTCATATTTAGTCTCAGAAAGTCCTGGGAAAACTCATGGAAGTTGGATTCCAGATTGGTCTCCAGGTCTCTAGTCAAAGCAGAGAAGTTTGTCTAGAAGATTTACGTGCTTAGTGCAAATCAGCTGAAAACCAGTGATGAGAAGTATGCAGTTCATGGCATTTTGACCGGTATTCAGCTTTTGCTGAGCGATACTGTCTTTGCTTAGCAAAGCTCCCTTGCTCGGTAGCTCTTTGGAAAATAGCCGCTAGCCAAGCCAGACAGATCTCCTCAACAGACCTTGAGGTGCTTCAGTTAATTTGCAGGCCAGTGTAATGGCATCCACCCGTCGGAATTTCTCAGTGGACCTCTTGTTTATCTGGGGAGGAGGAGACTCCAATTGGGAGAGAAGGGGGGAGGCTTGTTTTCCCACGTGGTGTTGAAAGCAGAGGAAACCTTTCATTTTCCCAGGATGTCGTTTAAAAAAAGAGCCGTCTCAGCTGATAAGAAAAAAGTTATCCGTAAACATTCTGGTCTCATGGGTATTAGAGTGCCTGTGCACAGGGTCCTGACTTTGCCCCCAGTTTTTTTGCTAACAACTCAGGTATCGGCCACAAAAAAAGGTAGTCCAAAAGAAAAATAGTTTAGCTGTGTTCATTTCAGTCAGTGTAGATTTCTCCCTGGAAATACTTAGTTAGCATTAATTGGCATTTGGGCAAACCATGTGGGTGATAAAGTAAGCTATGGTGTACACTTCGTGGGTAGTGATCGGTGTTGTTTTTTGGGGGGTGCACGCATTCTTCAGAAGATAGACGTTAGTGGCCTTCTTGCGTTTGTCAGGTAAGATGAGCAGAGTGGTGCATGCTGTCTTGATAACTGTTTTTAACACGTAAAGTTGACCAGTGCCATGTTTTCTTCCCTTATTGGCACGAAGAAATCTTTACACAGTCTTGCAGTCGCTCGGTCTCTTGAATGCAGTAGCTTCCAAGTGTTTCCATGGAGACACTTGAGTTTTGTCAGTCTGTCGGTCTGTTTTTGACCTAATGGCAGTTCATGGTACATGTACATTGTATTAGTATGTGCATATATGCGTCCTTTATAAGGGGTACAATGGGAAACACTCTTAATGGTACATTTTGAAGGGATTCAAGGCCACAAAGTTTTATTATGAGTCCGTAAAGCATGGCTGGTACTTTCAGTAAAAGTGGGACAAGATGCTGAGATCGTAATTTGGTTGGGTTCTGAAATGCAGGTTTTTCTAAAGAATTGATATTATGCGCAAAACGAACATGGTACTGATGGTTCTCCATTTTCCAAAATATTTTCCAGCAAGTTTTGTAATAACACTTGCCTGACAAATCACCAACAGTATCAAGTGTCACAACATAAGTTTTCATTTCCCAGTTGGTTACATGTGAAATCACAATATAAATACTGCCATTTGTAACCAACCAAAAATATCTGTTTACCCACATGCCTACTATTAAAGGTAACATCATACTTGCAAATTCACCAGAAAAGGTGTAATCTGCCAGAAATTAGGCCAGTTTTAGTATTTCATTCACAGTTATATGTTACATGGCAGCTCTGCCCATGAAAGACCAGGGGCCAGTTTCATAGATCTGCTCATTTAAGTGGGAAAAAACTTTGCTTAATAAACAAAGGTACCAGCTCAAACTCTATCTAATTGTCATGCTAACCCCAAAAACAGCTTCGTACAATGCCAAGACAATATACATCACATGGAGTTTTGGCTGGTTTTACCTGATTTATCAAGTAAGGTCTTCTTGTGCTTAAGCAGATCTTGTGCTTAAGCAGCTCTATGAAATTGGCCCCTGTTTACTCCCTGTGATATATGCAAGAGGACATTTTGGAATCAGTGGAGGTCCCTGCAGATCTACCAGACTGCAGATGACAGAAAAATAATCTCACCATAATTATAAAATACATTGCATTTGTCCAAAGCTGTTGTGTTTCTCCCCTCCAAAGCTTGTCCTGCCCCTATATGCCAATCTTGGGAAGGCTCTAGCACCGCAGCCATGTACAAAGACATGTCCGTACCGGTTTATACCACTCTCAGAGGGGTAAGTATTCCTTGACCTCAGTTGCCCCCCCTCCTGTTTTTGATCTTCAGTGGTATATTGAGTTGAAAACTGCAAGGTCTTTTTTGTCAAGGTCATACCTCATTCATTATGCATTATATTGATCGAAGCCATTTAGTCTGGTTTGTGTTCTAATCCTGTTGTGTTATTGATAAATAACTAACTTCCACATTTATTAGACATACATAAAGGAAGAAATGCAAGATTTTCTTTCATTCTGAAAAGCTGAAAAAAAAAACTGAAAATGCTGTGTGATTATTGGATATATGTGAAATTTTTAACATCTGCTGAAGAGCCCAGGATGCAAATCTCAGCAGGTTTTAAGGAAAAATGCTGTTATATTTGCTTTTAGTGAAGTCCGCCTTCCTTTCAAATTGGAATGAAAGCAGAGTTCTCAGGTTGTCATTTAAAAATACACCAGCTTGCTTTTAATGCTGTACTTCACAGGAAATTATATCAGTTTTATGTTTTTCTCTCACAGATCCTGTTATTCAGAGAGAAAAAAACAAACTTTCCTTTCTACTTATTTATGCTATTTAAATACACATTTTCCTGCCCCCCAACTTGAAAACAAGTTAAATCCAATTAACGCACTACAGGGAGAAAGACTCCCAGGAGAGTACTTCTGCATCCTCGGTGGCATCCGTCCAAACCTCACACAGCCTTCAACTTTTTTTATTGGCTGAATCCACCCACAATTTTTTTTTATGTTTCCTGGTTTCCTTCACCTCCATCCCTCATCCCCCCCTCCTCTCTTTCTCTCAGCATGCTGACCAAATACGCAGCACGCCATTCAGTGGGGATTCCTCGGACTCCTCAGATGAGGAGCACTGCCTTGGAGGTGGCGGCAAGCTCTCCCAGCACATCCAATCGGCCGTGGGGACGCTGGGAAGGAGGCCCTCCCCAAGCGCCTCGCCGGCCAAGAGTGGAAGCAAGATCGGTGGCAGTGGCGGTGGCGGCGGCGGCAGCGCCCTCGCAAGTGGGAGCCCGTCCCGGAAACTCATTGGCATTGGAGGCACGCCCTCCACCCCAATGCTGGGCCTAAAGAGGGGTAAATAACACAAAGCCTCACATCGTCCCTTAATAACTGTCCCTTTCTTTCTGGCAGATCCAAGTGCAAACTCCACTTGTTCAGGTGCATGTAGTAATCATGCTAAAGGGGTGATAAGTGTTCATCATGAGTACTGAATGCAAACTTGGCCACATGGAGACTTGCTGATTGGAATCAGAACTGTGTTTGACTGGACTTGTGCCTCAGGCTTCTGATAATATCTTACGTTATGAATGTCGCCATAGTTGAAAACGTCGTCTGAATGCTTTCTGATGATGCTAGATACTCAGTCGTAGTGTGATATACTTGAAGTACAGAAGTCAGACATCTCCTACTCTGATGAGCCACTTCGACAGAGTACAGAAGCATGACGTCATTTGAACCAGGAAGCGTAGTGCAAACGAATGAAGTAACGTCGGGCACGTGTTGGTTCACGCATTGGTTCTCCTGCTATTGCCTACTACGCGCATAATTGTGACTTATTCACTTTGGTACTCTATAAGAAAAGGTCAATCAAGAACAGCGCACCTGGCATCATGCCCAGCTCCCACACGCTCAGAGCATATTAGTCAGCATGCTGCCGCAATAGGGCAGACCTCACACATGTTGCTGTTCTTGAATGACATGCATGACTTACGTACATGTACTTCATTTTGAGCATGCCCTGTTGACTAGCTCACTACTCTTCCGGAATCAGTTCATAGGAAGCCCGGTGCCTATTGCAAATATGCAGTACTAACATTGAACTTAAAGTGCATATTTTGTAAGACTTTTATTGTCGGAAAGAGTGGATGGGTTTCCTATTCTGAACCCTTATTGTCAAATTGATAACTTTGGTGCAATTGCATATTGCTTGCATGTGGTGTTGTACAACATTTGTGACTCAACCTGACAAAATCAGTCACAAGTCACCAGAGCCACTTTTGAGTTAAAAAGTGCAGAGTACAGAAGGGTGAGGTCATTTGAACCAAAAGAGAATCTTGTGGAATATGAATCAAAAGGAACTCTCCACAGTTTTCACTCAAATAATATCAGCTTTCATTGTGGCTCAGAATGCGAACACTTTGTGTCGTGTTTTTACGTCAAGCCAAGAAAGTAGAACAGGGACCTGTACAGAAAGAGGGTTTATTCAGAGTTTTTGAAACAAATAGATGAATGCTTCATGTTTTTGCAGTGGCAAGACTAATTTATTTGATGACATCAAGAAATCATTCTTACTATTGCATTCATAAACATTCACGGTTTTAAACTAGAGTCAATTGTTTAATATTTGGAACCCATATAGAGGATTTTGAGTCACATGATTTTTGAGTCGGCGTTCAATTTGCACAGATGCGTGTGGAAATGTGCATGCCTTCGAAGTCTCTCGACATTCTGACTTACATGAAACTGCCAATAGAAATACACACTTTCGAAGATGCAGGCACCTCCACAGACATGGAATGCTCCCTGAAATGCCTATGCCCGTTAAGTTACATCACATGAAAAACCTCTATATCCGTAAGAATAGTGAGGTGACAAGTCATTTTATTGCCAAAGTATTAGCTTTGTTAAAAGGTACAACACTGCATGTGTGTCTTGTTATTAAATCTTCAATGAACATGACAGGTGCACAATACAGGGCTTCTCAACCAATGGCATACATGTACCTCTCTTTTTTGAATGCCAGGTGTGTCTGCCCAGTCAGGTAGCTCAGAGGCAGATTATGCAATACCCCCAGATGCAATCTCTTGCAGTGACAGTACAAACTCGGATGAGCCTGAGCCCAAACTACTCAAGACTTGTGCGGCCTTTACTGCCGAGAACGTCCGTAAGGTCAGTGTGTCTAGTCATGCTACCGCTATCTTCAACTCTGGTCTCGAGGGCTTTACTTCTCAAATATTTCATTGACATACCAGTAGGACACCAGCAGCCGATTTCACGAAACTCGTCTTATCTTGCAACTCATCTTAGAACTTGGGACGAGTCCCTGCGATAAGATCGATCTTAGCTAAGACCCGTCCTAGGATCGATTTCACGAAACGCTTCTTAGGCAAGACGCATGCATAATATCGTTAAATATTTTGCTCATTATTGGATGAGGATGACCCGTGTCCTGTGCGCGGCTGTGTCGTGTTTGATAAATTTTTTTCCTGCGATACGCGCAACAGCCGTTGGTAGCTTTGCACAGTAAATTCAAGATGGCTGATTGGGTGAAAAACACCCGGCAAAAGTTCGTCTGTTCTACTTCAACACACGTAAGTATATACATGTACGTTTCTAGATAAATTTGGTAGGTTTCAGTGTGTTCCTCGTCATCGTTTATGTTGTGTGCAGTCGGGTCGCATGAATCGTTAGATTGCAATTTCAAAAGAAATTATTTCGAGCCCATTCATTTGGAATTTGGAAAACTGAGAAAATACATGAGGCCATTATCACAGTTCTTCAAAACTTTTACAGTGTTGATAAGTTGAAAGCCTCTATGCGGTGCATTTTTCTTACAGTCACTTTTGTTGGCATGTTAAACTCCTCTTTGATGTACGAAAACTGGTTGAAACCTTTAAACAGCTAATTGGTGTGAAAAGTGTAATTTTTATAAGATTTGGAAAAATGACTAGGCTTTTCCAAACAGTCAAGGAGGGGTTGCAGTCATGTACATGTAAATAGAAGCACGCGCTGTTCGTGTAACATTCTTTAGTGTATAACATTTTGAACCTAGAGTATGCCCTTTGAAAACATTTCTCAGAAAAAGTTGCTAATTTCCATTTACTTAAATGCCAAAGGAAAATGGAAAATTGTTATTGTCAAGTAGAAAAAGAGATTTTTGTGTACAATTTATGCAAGATTGATTTTTGTTGCCTTGATCTGCATTACTGAATTCTACTGAATTTGTAAATTCGAATTAGCATTAACCTCAAAGGCCTTTTATACTAGATATAAGTGCCTAAAATAAATTGAAAAGGGGTCAATTGAAAAAAATGTGCAATCTCAGGGATTCTAAAAAAAAATTCCATTACATGGGTCCTTTAAATTGAATTTTGAAAAAAAGTTTTACGTTATGAATTCATAACCAGTGTTACGTTTTGTGTAATATTTCATGAAAGGAAGCATGGATACAACAGATTAAGTCAGACTAAATAGAAAAATGATGAGATTTGACTATAATTGCATCTGAATCAAAATGGAATCAGTGATTCCAACAAAAAAGTAAACTTGAATTTTGTTCATTTAAAATAATTGTTTTTTCTTGTCAATGATACTGACTACTGAAACAAATCTACTCGGATTTTCCAATTTCAAGCTTCACCCAGCTGATCCCCAAAAGCTTTTCACAGTTTATGTTACTGCAGTCAAATTGACCGGTGCTTTTCAGTGGTTCTTTTTTACGGTGTGAAACAATTATTTTGCTGCGCTTCTGAAACATACGCCAATTTAAATCTATGGCTCTAAAAATCTGACCTGACT